TGCATGAGCAGGTGCAAGCCTCTGAGGACCTGTGAAACTTTATAACAATTTTTACAGAAACTTGGGAAACCCAAATTCATGATGCCAACCAAAGAAATCTTAAGTGAAATAGAGCATTTAAAAGCTTCTGTGATTTGGTTGGGTGAACAGTTTCAGTATCTGTGATGGACTCAGCGTCTTCAATGCCATTTTAATGTCACTCAGTTTTGTGTTACTTGTGTTAAATATATTGGATCTGGAATTGGATGGAATCAGATTAAGTACCATTTATTAGGATTGGACCCTTTTCACAATGTTTCCTTAGACGTTTTAAAATTACGGTTACAAGTTCTTGCTATGGCCACAGTCAAAACACCCACCTCTGAAAACACTGATGTTTTAGAAGGATCAGCTGGTGGTATTTCTGAATTAAACCCTTTAAATTTTTTTTCTACATATATATACAGCCTACAGGGAATGGTCATATTGCTTATTCTTTTTTGTCATGTGCAGCCTGTCAAGCTGGATGGCGAAGATTGATTCGTTAAGAACAGGCTTTGCTGAAACTAGTTATGTTTACTCAACTTCCAAAACAGAAAGGGGGGCATATTGGGGCTCAGCCTGTCACTCTAAGGAGAGCTGGAGAATATCTGAGAACACCTGTTTACTCTGCACATGGAGTTCAGGATGTTAGAAATTCTGTTTGCAGAACTTGACTCCTATTCTCTGAGGACGACAGGTGTGTGAGCATGTTCCCTATTGACTAGAAATACTTGTTCTTAGGGTAATGTATTCATCTGTATATGCAAAAACACAGCTGTGTGCTATTTTCTTGTTCCCTTGTTCCCATCTGAATAAAAGCTGGGGCTTGAGAGTGAGAGGCAGAGCTGCTCTCGATGGCTCTCTCCCCAGCTTTCCCCTGCTGCAAATGCATTTAGACTCTGAGTCTTCGTTAATAGCAAGGAACTTCATTGGCTGTCTGGCTCTCCATGACACAATATTCATCTCATTTAAACAGGAAGTACTTGGTTGAGGCTAGGCAGCTCAGAAATTAAGTTTCTGGTATTTTCCATGGAATACACCTATTCCATGGAATATACCAGACATAACAGAAAATACGTGTACTGGTCTTTGCTCCCTGTTCTGAACACAGAGATCCTCAAACTCTTATAATTTCCTAAATGACACAGAAGCATCTTTTGTTCCTAATTTTTGGTCTTTGACCTCTGTTCCTGAGATAGTGCTCCTAAATCTTTTAAAACTCCCTGATGGGTAGGAATGTCCTGTTCCAATGAGGTGACTTATGGTGGGCTTCTGGGTAGCTTCAGAATGGGGGTGGTCACAGAAACACCAAACAATAATCAGAGGCTTGGAACTTTCCATTTTAACTCCATCCTCTGGCAAGTGGTGAGGGGCTGGAGAAGGAATTAATGATTTTTTATGTCTATGCCTCGTAAACACCCCAATAAATGGGGTTCAGAGAGCTCCAGGTTGCTGCACATGTGGAGGTGCTGGGATGTAGTGCAGCCAGAAAGGCAACGGAGGCTCCCTGTTGCTTCCCACACACCTCACCCAATGCGTCTCTTCAGCCATGTCCATTTGTATCCTTTACCATATTCTTCATCATAAACCAGCAAGTGTAAATATTTGCCTGGGTCCTATGAGCCAACCCAGCAGATGATCAAACCCAAGATGGGGACCACTGGTACCTGAGTTGTAGCCAGTTATTCAGAAGTAGAGCTGACAGCCTGTCAACTGAAGTCCTTGACTTGGGAGTCTGAGTCTTAGACTTGGGGGTCGGAGTCCTTGACTTGGGGGATCTGACACCAACTCCAGGTAGCTAGTGTTAGTATTGAATGAAATTACAAGACCCCTAGTTGGCACTGCAGAGAATTTCTTGGTGTATAGAAACCCACACACCTGGTATCAGACACACCGAGAGCCTAGAAACAAACAGGAGTGTCTCTTCTAGATTGCTGGATGGTTGTGAAAGAAAACTAGTTTCAATGCTGAACTGTTGCTTCTGGAAGAACGATGGTAGCATGTCTAGACCTAAGCACAAGTGTGGCACTACTTCCTGTGGCCCAGTGTGGAGCCTTAACACAACCCCCCAAGGGGGGGGAACCATGTCTTTTATAGATGTCCTCTTAGTGTCTAGAGTATGTCATGGTAGGTGAAATAATAACACTGATAAATGAATAAACTTTGTGGATTATGAGGCTGCCTCTAAAAAATTAGGTGATAAAACCCCACCCACTTGGAAATAAAAAGACATTTTCTCATTTATTAAAAGCTCAAGAATTGTAGATCTAGAATAATAAATTGATGTGCTCAATCTTTTCTTTTGTTGGTCCACAAATTTCTTTGGTACCCTTTGCTAAGATGTAAGAGACATGGCCTGTGAGGGTTGAGCCTTAGGAGTTGTCTCCAATCTTCCTGTCCACTGCCGTGTTTGATGGGGTGATTTTCCCACACAAGGTACACCCCCAGACACTTCCAGACAGCAGCGTCTATGTATTAGAAATGGCAAGCTGCATGTGATGCACGACCTGCAGGTAAGCCTGCAAGTCCATACCTTTCTGCCTTGCTGCTTGAGATACACCTGTCTACACCAACAAAAATAAAACTGCATCCCAAGACCACGGCTCTGCCTGCAGCAAACTACTTGCTTCTAGAGACTGGTCTTTCTGAAGTCAGAATCAGAGCAGAGAATTTTGTACACACAGGTGAATGAAGGAGGTCAGGTCTCCCATCCCATGCTCAGTAGTCAGCATCTCTTGCTGGTCCTGGCTCATATTTGGTCACCAAGGGCTACAGGGACTCCTTTTAAAGGGCTGAGAAGAAAGGCAGTCTTAGGTATGAGATGAGGATCCTCACGCTATACTCACCTTTTTCATAAAAATGCTAATCAGTGCAATCAAGCAACTTTACAGAGGGACTCACACCATTGGCGTCATTATGCAAAACAGCAGACTCAATAGAAGCCCAAGTGAAGACCACGGTCAAGTGCTCACAGAGAGGAGTGTCATCAGGACATATAAAGCATTAGCATTAATGTTAGAAAGTATCAAGAGTTGTGTGTTTTGAGGTGGAAAAAAAGCATGGGTGTTAGCCAATGGACTGAATCTTGCCTGAAACAAGGTAAAAAAGGTGCATTTTATTTAGCAAGACTTGAAATGTCCAGTTCTCTGGTTTATAGAGAAGCTTGTCGCTATGTGATGGGGTGGAGGAGTGTAACAAAGGGGTGTTTGAAGATGTAACCTATGCAGATTGCACCCAGAAGCCTCTGAAGGATGGGGTGGACTGGCCTGGTGATGGCCCCTAATTACGGTGTCTGCAAAGGGCTGTTGATTGCGAGCCTGAGTAATCCTTAGGTCAGGCTAAGAGTTACCTTTCCTGGGAAATCCAATCTGGACAGGATTCTCAAAGGCAGTATTTCTTTTTGACAGAACTACAGAGCTATATCTCACCTGTACCTACTCCTTGTGGAGAAGTTTGTTTAGCTTTTGCTCAGAGCTCAGAATACTGGCTGATGTTCATTTTCTTAAAGATCTACTTACAAGCACACATGCAGCTCCTGCTCATGTTACGTCTTTCTCAGTCCTAGTAGCTAATTTATCTCCTGTTACAGTTTCCAGATGACACTTTTGGAAACATAGCTGTCAGCTGTCTTGGTTTCTTGGTACCAAGAATGGGGCATGGGAGTTTGGATATGCATTTTTGGAGATCAGATCTTTCTGGATGGTCTTTGGAGAAACCCCACCATTTAACTCTGACATCCCAACATCTGCATTTTCTGACATACAAAAAGAATAAATGTAGATTCAAGCCTATCTCTTAATTTCAATGTCTTGCCTAGTTTCTAGACCTTTTAATCATTTTTCATCTTGGCAATGACACAGCTAGAGGATGAGGTGGGGGTTAGATGAGAACTTGAATAGAAAGAAACTTAATGAGGAGAGGATTTGCCACATTATAATGGAGTTGATCTTAGAAAAATGACTTCATATATATGATCCTCAGTCCTGGCTTCCTTCCTCCTCTTCCCTTCTCCTTTCACTCCACTCTCCCTTCCTCTCCCCTCTTTTTCTCACCCCCCCACACCCCTGTCACCACTCTCTTTCTCTTACAAAATTAAGATGAGAATACCCAGCCTAGGATGGTAGGAAAGATGAAACAACATTATCTGTAAATGCCCTAGCAGTTGTGCTGGGTACTCCATAATGGACTGAAGTAACACCTGCACAATGACACTTCTCAGCCCCACTGCTGTGGCGAGCTGAGCTATGTTTGCTTCCCACCCAATGGGACTGGTATCCTGCTCCATCACTGCATGGCAGGTGAATGGCATGGAGCTGGCATGCAGGAAGTGCCAAGAGATGCACACTGAATGAATGGAATCACCTACGCCTTACTGCCCTAGAGTGAGGCAAACAACTGGAGAAAGAAGAAACAGACTGTCTCGACACCCCAAATCATAATGTCTATGAGAACTGGTCTCCTCCCTGCACAGGGCAGGTGGGCTGAGTCCTACCCCAGGTCACTGCCACTGCAGGCACAGGAATCCATCCCGCCTGTGACTTCAAACAACAGCAGGAATGTTAAACTCTCGTGTGAGTGCATCAACAAGGATGCCAACCCGTCAAGGGACCGACATCTGATGGCGGCATGGACTTCTAATCTGAAAAATAATAAAAAGCTTCTGAACTCCTAACAACAGCAATCTGATATGAAAGAACCAAGAGGCACCTCACTCATTAACCTTCCTAATGAGACGAACAACTCTTGGTGATAAACTCAGCAGCTGAGTAACTGGTGACGGCACCCAGCAGGCGGGGAATCAAGGCACTGAGGTCAGAGCTTTGCGCCAACACCCGCCTGGGGTGGGGTATAAAAGGGCCGGCCGGGAAGGGGTGTCAGACTCGTGGCTCGGCCTTCCCACTGTCCGGAACCTCCTGCGCAGCCGCACCAGCAGCATGACCTCCTCGTACATGGGCTTATCCCACAGCCTGGGCGGCGCCATGATCCCCGGGGCAGGGGCCGCCTGCCTCTCGGCGGAGCTGTCGTGCCCGCCTGTGGCAGAGGTGCCCCCCCCGTGCCTGCTGGGCAACCTGGCCCACGCCCACCGGATCCGCGTGGGGCCCACCCCCCTGGGCCGCCCCAGCCTCTGCCTGCCCCAGAGCTGCCACAGCGCTTGCCCCTTGCCAGGCACCTGCAACATTCCCGGCAACATCGGCAGCTGTGGGGCCTGCGGCGAGGGCAGCCTGAACGGCCACGAGAAGGTGACCATGCAGTTCCTGAACGACCGCCTGGCCAACTACCTGGGGAAGGTGCGCCAGCTGGAGCGCGAGAACGCGGAGCTGGAGACCAAGATCCAGGAGTGGAGCAAGTGCCACGAGTCCACGCTGTGCCCCGACTACCAGTCCTACTTCCGCACCATCGAGGAGCTGCAGCAGAGGGTGGGGCTGGCCGGCGGGGGCGGGGCGCTGGGGAGCAGGGCCCCAACACCTGGCGTCATAGGGGCTGTGGGGGCTTGAGTGTAGACCCCAGGCGGGGCTGGGGCGCCCAGCTGGGCGCTTTGTGTGAGCGCTGTGCCCCCGGTTTCTGCAGATCCTGTGCAGCAAGGCTGAGAACGCCAGGCTGGTGGTGCAGATCGACAACGCCAAGCTGGCCGCCGACGACTTTAGAATCAAGTAAGTGAGGCTGGAAGGGGCTCCGTGTGGCCCTCTCTTCTATTTCCAAGTGTCCAACATACTGCAGGCTTACAGCAGGTGTTCAAAAAACCATTGCTGACTAGATGTGAATGAATCGATGAACATCCATGCATTTTCTTCCTTTCCCAACCTGTTACTAGAATTGATCATTATATACGATAGATGAGAACATCGAAACAAGAAGAGGTGCTATAGTCTCAGCTGGTAAGGTTCCATGGCACATAACATACCTGTCCATAACTAAAAGATAAGGGGATGTTGTGTTAAAACCAGAAGTGAAATCAAGGTTTTGTAAGAATGAGCTTTCAGCACGCAGGTCACTGGTAGACTCACTCACTAACTTGCAGCCAAATCCACCAGAGGGAAGAAGGGTCACTGCAGTTCCTTTGTGTGAAGCGTTGCAACGGAGTGAATTTGAAAGGCAAGAACATGAGAAATAATCCAGGAGTAACAGATCTGGCTGACTTACTTTCAAACCACTCTTTTTGCTGGTGCTTTTTCATTCTCCTTTAAGGCAGAATACTGCATTTGAAGTATTAGGTTGCGTCCAAGTGTTGGCCACTAATCAAGGTATATAATCTGGATAACCCATGTATTGTTTCTGAGCCTCCATTTCCTGTCTAGTAATGGGCATAATAATCCTTCTCCTGGCCATGAGTTCTTACCTACAGGATCAAACACAGTGAAGGCTGATTGAGTGAGCAAGTGAGGGTCAGGCTGTGAGGAGGCCCAACGGGGACACTCCCCAACGGAGGTGAAAGGCCCTCCTCACACGTGTTAACCTTGACTCCCTGTGACGGCAGGCACGAGAGCGAGCACGCCCTGCGCCAGGTGGTGGAGGCGGACATGTGCGGGATGCACAAGCTGATGGACGACATGACGCTGGCCAAGGCCGACCTGGAGACCCAGCAGGAGTCCCTGAAGGAGGAGCAGCTCTCTCTCAAGAGCAACCACGAGCAGGTCTGGGGCTCGGGCTGCAGGCTCGGGGGGAGGGTGTCGGGCACAAAGGCAACACCTCACCTCGGGGCTCTAGGTCAGAACCTGGGCTCATGGGCATTGGGCTGGCAGCTGGCTCTGGGTCTGAGAGTTAGAGGAGCCTGAGGGTCATGGCCGGGCACTTTCTGACCACTCGAGGTTTGCAGTGTGACTTTCGGAAGGTTCCCGTGTGGGAGCCTGGGCAAACTCTGCACAGCAGGGTGTGTGTGGGCTGCCCCTCATGCTGCTGGCCCGGAGGGGTGGAGTGCTGGCTGCTCTGCCCAGAAGCTCCTTTGACACTGCGGGTGTGGGTTCTGCTCTGCTGCAGGAGGTAAAAATTCTGAGGTCTCAGCTCGGGGACAAGCTGCGGATTGAGCTGGACACAGAGCCCAGCGTGGACCTGGTCAGGGTGCTGGAGGAGATGCGGTGCCAGTACGAGACCATGGTGGAGACCAACCGGCGGGACGTGGAGCAGTGGTTCCAGGCGCAGGTGGGGGTGCGGCCATGGGGGGCACAGGCAGGGGCCTGGCTTCCCTGCGGACGGGGGATGACCCGGCCTGTGTGTGCCCTCGTGTTGCAGTCTGAAGGCATCAGCCTGCAGGCCACGTCCTGCTCTGAGGAGCTGCAGTGCTGCCAGTCGGAGATCCTGGAGCTGAAGTGCACGGTGAACGCCCTGGAGGTGGAGCGCCAGGCCCAGCACAACCTGGTAAGGTCCCCCAGCCCCACCTGTGCTGCCCCCCGCCATGGACCCTGGCCTGCTGGCTCGTCTTTAGAAACCTCACCAGTCAGGTTCATCCCCAACAGTCAGAGTTCAGGATCTGGGTCTCTGTGCGGGGGAGGTGTCTTCCAGTCAAGGTTAGTTTGATCCTGAAAAATGCTTCCGAGAAAGGTCAACTCCACTGCTTTAGAATAGAGTGTGGAGGTTCTGGCCCTCCTTGAACAAGGTTTCTGGGTGTCTGCCAGGGGTATGGGGGTGAACGTGGACCATTCTTCTAGTTAGCATATTTGGTGAGATGTCATGGTCTCACAGCCTGTGAGTTCTCTGGCGCTCTGGGAATGCCCCATGCCTGCTGGGAGTTCGCCTGTTGAATTTGGCCCTGATTTTCTTGGCTGAGTGTTGAGGGCCTGAGGTTTCTTTCCCCATTATTTCCCATTGTAGAAAGACTGTCTGCAGAACTCGCTGTGTGAGGCCGAGGACCGCTTCGGCACGGAGCTGGCCCAGATGCAGAGCCTGATCAGCACCGTGGAGGAGCAGCTGGCCGAGATCCGGAGTGACCTGGAGCGGCAGAACCAGGAGTACCAGGTGCTGCTGGACGTCAAGGCCCGGCTGGAGTGCGAGATCAACACGTACCGGTCCCTTCTGGAGAGCGAGGACTGCAAGTATGTGTGATCTAGGCACTTCTTGATCAAATCAAATGTCCGGTTGTCATGAGAGCCTCAGGGTGGAAGCCACGCTGTCTCTGACCAGTGAGAGTAGAAATGTGGCTGTGCCTCTGGCAGAACTTTCAACTATTGATTTAGCTTTTCCTTTCTGTACTTTCTAGTATTTTCTATCTGGTAGGAGAGAACATGACTTTCATCAAGAAAATGTTCCATTCTAGAAGGCAGTTCGGAGATCACCTAGGCTGTCCCTCAGGTTACACTGTTGGGGCCAAGGTCTGGGCATCTGCTGGGTGTCCTGTTGTTTTGGAGTGTGGCCCCTGCACCGCTCATGCACATCACCGAGGCCTCCACTCACTTCCCTCCATCAACCACACTCACTTCTCTCTCTGCAGACTCCCCTGCAATCCGTGCTCCACCCCACCCTCCTGTGTGGCGCCACCCTGTGCTCCCCGTCCGAGCTGTGCTCTCCGTACCACTTGTGGGCCTGGCTCAGTCTCTGGGGTCACCACTGCGTGCCGGTTCTGAAGCCTCCGGACCAAGCTGGGGTGGTGAAAGCGACAGGGGCCCATGAGGAGAAATGGCTGCTACACACTTAGGAAACCTGACCTCTAACTGCTGCTGACCCTGCTGCGTGAGCCTGTCCAGAGACCAGTGAGTGCCAGGAAACGTGGGCTCTTGCTTGGGCGTCTTCCTCCCCAGCTCCTATTTTCCCAGATGAACTCATGTCCTCAGTGGCTGGACTGGAGCCACCGGTGGCGGCTCAGATCCCTGAGTGCAGTGGCAGGCGAGGGTGGAAGAAGTGTCTTGGGGTGAGGACACGGCATGACCTGCAGTTGTATTTGCCACTCAGGAGATCAATTTTTACTTAAAAAAGTTCTGATGTGGGACCAGGCCAGTGGTACTGGATGTAACAGCTTCCATCCTTTCCAGCCCAGGACCGTGGCCCCCAGAGCACTGCTTATCTGGCTACTTCTACTCCTGTCCCCTTTCTCTTGCCTCGAGTTGGCTCCATTTCCTCTCTAGTTTTGTGGGGACTTCCCTTGTGACCCTTCTAAGTTCTCTCCACTCTGCATCTGGCTTGCCTCTTGCTCCATGAAGGGACTTTCAGGTGAAGAAAGTGCTCTTCTCTCTGTCAGTCCTGACTCCTGTTGAGCTAGCTCCCTCTCTTCACCTAGTTTTGCAGTAGAATTGGAGCAGTGACCCCATTTTCTCTAGTTCATGCCCACTCTGGACATGTTTGGGGCATAATGCTAAACTAAAGCCAACGGAAAACACAGGCCCCTATTTTGAAAGTTTTCAGACCTGCTCACATTGTCCACTTGTGCCTCTTATCTTCCCAGGCCCCCTCCTCTGCCCGTCCCACCCGCTCCCTGGAGGCCTCTGCTTGCTTGCCCTCCTTCCTGAATGTTTCCCCCGCCCCTTTCTGAAGTCTTCTCTCCTCTTCCTGGGTCTCTGGTCTGCACGGAAATGTCATTTCCTCTAGAACGCCTGTGTGGCCACCAGCTGCCCTGCTCACAGCCGCATCATGCTGTATCTTGCTTGTTTTCCCCATAGTGCTTACTTATCCATTATTTTCTCTTTAAAATGATTCTGGAAATTAGCATTTGTCCACTCCTACTTCCCCAGAGCCTAGCCCCCTGCTTGGTACCGAATAAACGCTCAATAAACATCTGTTGAAAGAATGAATGCTTCTAGTCCTAACTTTATTTCTGATTGGTTGTGGGGCATGAGAGCCATTAATCAACACCCTCAAGGCTCAGTGTTTTGCCCTGCTTTCAAATGGGGATAAAAGTATGTTTCCTACTTATATGCTAGCTGTGTCATGGGTCCAAGTGAAATAGCAAAAATTAAAAATTAAAACCCCCTGGAAAACTGGGTAGCTACATGCAAAAAAATGAAACTAGATCATTGCCTCACTCCAATCACAAAAATCAACTCGAAGTGGATTAAAGACCTAGACATAAGAACGGAAACCATAAAATACCTAGAAGCAAAGATGGGTCAAACACTTCACGACATACACTTTAGAGACATCTTTAAAGACAGAGCACCCAACGCCACAATAGTGAAGGCAAAGATAAATAGATGGGACTATATCAAGTTAAAGAGCTTCTGTACAGCAAAAGAGACATTACTAAAAACAAACAGAAAGATCACTAATTGGGAAAACATTTTCTCACACAAAAGTAGCGATAAAGGACTGATCACAAAAATATACGGAGAACTGATGAAACTCAACAAAAATGAAGTAAACAACCCCATCAAAAAATGGGCAGTAGAGCTAAAAAGACACTTCTCCAAAGAGGAAATGCAGATGGCCAACAGGCATATGAAAAAATGTTCAACATCACTCGTAATAAGGGAGATGCAAATTAAAACCACAATGAGATACCACCTCACCCCAGTGAGAATGGCACAGCTTCAAACAACTAGCAACAACAAATATTGGCGAGGATGTGGAGAAAAAGGAACTCTCCTGCATTGCTGGTGGGAATGCAAACTAGTACAACCACTATGGAAAACTGTTTGGAGGTTCCTCAAACTGCTAAACATGGAGCTTCCCTATGACCCAGCAATCCCACTCCTAGGTATCTACCCAAAAGACACAAAAACACTGATTGAAAAAGATACTTGTACCCCCATGTTTATTGCTGCTTTATTTACAATTGGAAAAACATGGAAGCAGCCCAGATGCCCAAAAGTAGATGACTGGATTAGAAAGATGTGGTACATATATACAATGGAATATTACTCAGCAACCAAAAAAGAGAAACACATGTCTTTTGCAGCAACTTGGATGGAGCTGGAAAAGATCATGCTTAGTGAGATAAGCCAGAAAGAGAAAGAAAAATACTGGATGGTTTCACTCATAGCAGGAGTATAATGGACCAGGCGAGAAAATAACAAAAATAATGAACAACCATAGACCAGAGACATTCTGTGGGGGTGGAGTGGGGAATGGGACCAAAAACGGGGGGGGGGGGGAAGGGAGGGAAATGCACGGGACTATGGTGGTGGCACAGGGGTGATTTGGTGATGGGAAACCCGTGGGGATTACAATTGAGATGAAAAAAAAATGTGCAAAATGATGTAAAAATAAACTTTTTAATAAAAAAAAAAAAGTATGCACACCAAGAAAAAAAAAAAATTAAAACCCCCTAAACAGAAAGCACCACGGTAACCTCATGGGGAGCCAATATGGAATGATGCTTGGGTGTACGGGTGCTGAGCCAGACTGGTTGGCTCAAAGGCTCTCCCTGGGCCTCAGGGCTTTTCTTTTAGGCAGCTAAAATTAATTCCCTAGCAGCTAAATTCAACCAGGAATAGAATGATGCACATAACAGCTTGTATTCCAGAGCGAATTGTATTCCAGGCTTTCTATTACTCCAAAGAATAAAGAAACTTTGCCTTGAGGGGTAGATTTTTCTAGCAACTCCCTTCTACTAAGACTACCTAAGGAGAGAGGACACAATTTTATGGGTCCTTTCCTTTCCTTTCTTCCCCTTTGGGTTCACTGATGGGAGCCTGTGACGTGAGAACAACCCCCGAATCCCACGGGACACTCAGCAACTCTAAGGGCTGTTGTAATTCCTAGCACTTCATTTGGGGGTGCAGATCGCACTTGTCAGTGGCACTGATTTCTAAATGCGATCACCAATAGCTCATGTCAGCCTCACTGTCATGTCTTGAGGTTTCATGAGAGAAAAAGCCACTTGGAGCATGAGTGGGTTATTGGGCCCAGGGGCAGGGTGAGGGCCGGTGGGGTCACCCGACCTTGCCTGCCACTGTGTCTGCAGATGTGGTGGGGTGGGACACCCTTGGGAGGCCTCTCTGGATATAAAGTGACTATTTTATCTGAAGAGTTGATGGGGCTCTGTTGGGCCCAGGAAAGTGAGTCTTTATAGAAAATGTCTCCTTTCCCCTTCTGTGATCGGAATTGAAAGCTCCCTCTGCAGGCCTGATTTTTTTCTGAGAAGAGAAATGAAAGACATGGAAGCTGGAGTGTGGGTGCCTGCCGTGGGGTCACTTCTAGGAGATACCATCTCCTTCAGCCTCTGACTACCTGATGAGCTTCCCTCCTTTCCTAGAGCAGCAACAGCTGTATCACACAGAGCCTGCTTTACTCTTTTCCTTCTTCAGTGGTTAAAGATAAACAGCCGAGAGTAACTGTGTAGTTTCAAAATGGAGTTTTAATGGTGGAGTTTCCCTTTTGCTTCATGCTGCACATGTCTCTTCTCTCTGAGAGCAGAGTGCCGCTCACACAGGCTCACATTAGAAATGTCTAGGCATCAGTGAAGCTTGCAGAGGTTAAATGGCTAAGGATATGTATTTATCAGGAGACTGAGCCAGGTCTTGGGGCTTGGGTACTCTGATTGCACAGTAATTCTCATTGTATCATATCACTTGAGTATTTATCGACTGTTCCTTCCAGTGATTCTGAGCCGTCTTAAAGGGGAAGCCTTGCAGTACAGAGCTTTCTCAAAAGACTGAAATTGGATCTACCCTGCGATCTAGTAATTCCATTCTGCGGCATCTATCTGAAGAATATGAAACACTAGTTCTAAAGGACACTTGCACCCCCATGTTTATTACAGCAGCATTGACAACAGCCGAGATAGGGAAACAATCTAAGCGCCCCCAAACACGTGTGGATCGAGAAGAGGTGGCCTATACACTATGGAACACTACACAGTGATGGAAGAAGATAAACCCCTGCCATCTGGAGCACCATGGATGAAACTGGGTGGGTGGGGGAATTCTGCCAAGTGAAATAAGTCAGAAGAAAAGTAACAAATATTGGATGGTGTCACTCATATGCAGAGTACGGAGACGCCAAACAAAGGGTCAGATAAAGTCAACACTAACCTTTGAAAGCTGACTATAGAAACGAGGCACCAGAGGGGCTGGGGGAGAGGTGTGAACAGAGTGGGAGGGAGCTTGGTGGGCTGCAGGTGCTCTGGTGGTGGGAGCACTGCAGTGCCGGCACTTGGGAGTGGGGTGGCCCTATACTTCCAAATACTCAGTCACGTGACCAGCAGCACTTCAATAACTTAATAACAAACATGAAAGGAGACCTTGCAACGCGAGTGTGAGATGCCCTGTGCCCACATTCAGCGTCACGGATGCGGTCACTGGCCAGCCCTGGACACACTCAGCATCAGCCTCAAAGGTCACTGGTCTGCTCCCAGCTCACTGCTGCCTGACCCCTTCCCAATGCCTTGTCTGTGCGTAACATGCCTGGTGAACCGCGGCAGCTGGGCAGGAGCAGAGGGTGACTTGGGGCAGGGGGCAAGTATGTCGTCAGCAGAGAAGGGCTATTCCTCGTGGTGCCAAACCAGGACTGTTGGTTCTGCTGTTAATTTTTTTTTCTTTTCATGAAAACACTTGGGTTCAGTGCATAATTCAGTGTGCTTTTGAAACTCTGCAGGACTTTTCATATTCATATATTCCTTAATGAAAACAAATCTCCCAATTTGACTTGATTGAGGACCACAGAATTTGAAGTCAAGGATGTTTGACTGCTG